GTCAAGTACGTTTATTAGCCGCGAGACGCAACTTTTACGAGCGTTACTTAAAAATGAGAAGCCTTGTGGCGTTGGACAAGGGAATGCCTTGTTCGTTGGACAACCTCTTTTCACGAACATGGACTTTTCTGCCACTTGAGAAGCGTTTTCAGCTTCTTGACACTGGTTTTTTACGAGCTTGAAGATACCAACATTGAATAATTGGTTAATAAAATTAATACAAAGTTTGGGTTATAATTTTGCACAATCAAATTGATATTATTAATAAAATTTATAACTATTAACAAATTAATTAATTTAATTATTTAAATTTAATTAAAAAAATAGTTATAAAGAATTTTTGAAAAATTGACATTTTTCTTTCTTAATTATTTAATGAATAAATCATACATGAGTAATAAAATTCTTAGTCATATGATTAGGATATGCGTAATATCAATGAAATTTAACAATAAAAAACGAAACCACTAGGTATGTACTTCCGCAAATAATTACACAAGTTACAATGAATCAGAAAACATCCTGTTTCATTCATTTACGCTTATACCATCAGTATTATGCGTCTTTGCAGATGATGAATGTTTATAAAAAACATTTATATTTATAAAAAAAGTTTCAATATTAATAAATAGTTTTATAAATAATGGTTATTATATGTATTTTCTATTAATATTTTTATATTTTCTAATAATACATCTGTATTGAAATATTTCCATCATTAAATTAATTTATTATTCAACAAAATATTTTTTTTCAGATTAAAATTATAAAAAAATAAATAGATGTTATAATTCAATACAGATTCAATACAGAATCTAAAAAGATTGATTCAATAATTAATTGATTCAAAATTGATTTTATTAATAAAAAATAATCAATAATATTTTTACGTTAAAATGTTTTTATTAAATTAATTCATAATTCAATGAAATTAATGCAAAAATTAATTAAATAACTCATCTTGAAATAAATCCCCTTATCTCACAACTACAACTACGATCTTTATAATATTCACTATGAGCGATCGTATAACCTCTCCCAACCACTTTTAACTTGTAAACAAAGGAGGCATTCTACAGCAGCAGGGATTTTGTCACGAATATTTAATCGTCGAATAATGAGTGGAACGTACCGAAAGATTACAGCTGCTGCTTGGAGACAATCCACTGTTTTATTAGACGCGTGTCGGTTTTGGTACATAAACCTCTTGGGATCCGTATCCTCCGCTGCCATAACGTATATCCCCGTGAAGGACGACTTAAACGAATTTTGTACCCAAGCTCGAAAAGCCGGCTGTGACAACTATACCGCCTGCTCTTTCGACTCGCTATGTAAATATTTGTTACGCTGAACGCGAACTGTAAGGAAAGAATGGGTCAACGAAATAATGCATAGGTATACGTGTTGAATGTGTTGCTACGTGTGTCTCGTGGAAGAGGGCGTAGAAGACGCGTTAGGAAAAAGAACTAAAAAAGAGAACTCGGTGGGCAATATAGTTTTATATATAGTATATGAGGTAGAAATAGATTGGAAGGATCGAAATATAGAGAAAAATGCATAAGATAAACAAAATAATTTAATGATCTTGAATATATTTTCTATTTAACTTCGATAATAGAAAAAAAAATAAATATGATAAGTATCATATTTATTTTTCGTAAGTTGCCATTCTGATTGAAAATACTTCACGTAATATATAAAACAAATATATTTACTTACAATATACACATTTCATATAAGTTAATACAGAAATATAAATGTCTCAATTGAATATTTTCGTTAATATAATTTACATATAATAATACTATATTATATATTAATATATTGGTGTATATGAAATATACCATTTTTTAGAATTTAATTTTATAGATGTAATCCACAATTGAATAATGATAAAACTACTCGAGTTAATTCGCATGATCAACAAATTCGTAAAATTTTATAGGCACATGTCCAACTCTTTGATAATCAGTGAATCGTGCGTAAGATCGAGATAGATCATGCGTGACTAGATGGTGAACAGAGTCAAAGAATAGTTCTCGATTTTTATTCGATCCGTGCGAAACGGCCAGCCTGACGTAATTAGTAACACATGTGGCGAACGAACCGCACCCATTGATTGACTGCCAGACGGGAAGAACTATCCCGGTGCATAATTCCATGAAATTTAAAAGAACATGGAATCCATGAAAAATCGATCGCCAAGATATTTCTTTGGCACAGTTGTTCCCATCATATATTTCAATTAACTAAAAAATTTATAGTATTATTTTAATTTATAATCATTCTAGGATATATTTTTGATCACATAATTTAATAATGCAAAAAATAATGCAATTTATAATGCAAAAAAATGGTGTAACGAATATTTTATAACGAGATTTTTCAATTTTATAATTAAATAGCTACAATAAAATAATTAATCATATATTATAAAAATAACATATTAAAAAAAAGTAATCTTAATTCGATTCTTTCTTTCTATTTCATATTTTATTAATTACAAATGCTCACTTTCATCCCAATCTAAATTTAATTTAATTTTAAAAAAATAAAAGACAAAATCAAAAGTAAGAATTTAATGAACATAACCTACATTCAAATGTAATTCAATTTTATTAAAATAAAGATATCGATATATTACATAAAACGAAGAAAATATGATGAATATGATCCAATTGAAGTGTATAGGTTAGGATTTAATATAGATTAGGATTACATGCATAAAAGCCATCATAATTATTTGAATAAAATATCAAGAAAAACCATAAAAAAAAAGAATGAAAAAAAGAATATCAGAAATATCATCTGTAAATTTAGGTTTTGAATATAGCATATTCCGTATTCATGGTGAAAGCGAATTTCTATGGAAATCAACATGCAAGATTGCAATGTAAAATTGTATACGTTCATCGCTATCGAAATTGAACGAAACTTCGATTTTTTCCCCTCGATTGGAAATTTTTTATTCAACTTTGAAAAATTGTGTTCTCATTGTTTCATAGAAATTTTAATAAACTTCTCACTGATAATTTTGATTTTTATGCCAATTATTTAATTAAGACACATTTTTCATAAACTTCTGATCGATTATCATATTAATTTTTACAGAAATATTTTAAAAATAATCAAAGAAGTTCAAATTTTATTTTATTTAAATTTATTTAAATTATAATTTATATTTTGCAATTATACAATAATATAAAAATTTAAAGTTATTCGATATAACTGAATCATGGAAAATACTTATTGATATTGTTGATATACATTATTTATCTGAAGATTCGAAGCAGTGAATTATCCAACAGTGGTGAAGATGTGAAAGTGTCGTGCAAACTGCAAGAATTACGCTCGACGAAGGAAATTGTATCAGACTTTCAGGGTCGAGCGTAATTGCGATGAAACTTTGTTTTATTAAAACCAGTCCGATCCCACCGTAATTATACATCACCGGAATCACTTTCATTTTTAACTTGGAGAACAGATATAGTTAACACAAGAATCAACAAAGAATTATAAAGAATTTTTTTATTATTAAATAAAATTTTTTTTTTAATATTTATTATATATTATATTTACAATATTATATTATATTATATTATATTATATTATATTATATTATATTATATTATATTATAATTAT